GAGTTGCACATACCTCTGTGCATACGCACAACTGACTTTGTGAGACTATATAGTGCAGCATCATGACAGCATTAGCCCTCTCTGCACCGACTGACAGGGTGAACATTCTGGTTTGTTATTTTTGTGACGACCATAATTAGTGATTTCCTGTGGATTTCATCAGTTCTTCATCTTGTTTCTGAGCCCACATCATTCCCTCAGATGGTTAGCTTGTTTTCACAGCTCAGAGCTTTCCCTGGTGAAGCCAGCTGCGCTTAAAAATTGCTCTCTCTTACAGCTACAAGATACCAGGAAATAGGGGTAACTTTTATTGTATTTGCTTTTATAAAAACCATGGTTTTCATTCTATATGGACCACTAGGTCTGTATAGACAAACTGCATTTGGAACGATTGCTTTATAACTCTAAAAATAGGTCAAGTTTCTCCAGTTTGAAATTAATGCTGAGAGCATTTGGATATTTTGTGTCTGAAAATGGAAACATAATATATTAATTTCTATTCACCAATCTGATGTTTGGAATATTTTCATATCATCTAACTGGGTTACAAAGAAGGCAATGTCCTGGGAGACTTGACTGGTGCATTTGTCTTGAGAAATTCCATAAGCATGTGCTGCCATGATTAGTTTTCACTGCTTTTGACACTGATCTTGCATAGCAAATGCCCCATTCAGGATTTGCAAAATCTGCAAGAAATGCTTGCAAAAAGAGGAACTAATATCTGTATGGACAAAATGTCAAAATGCTTTTCTCTCTCTCTTTTTTTTTTTTCAGTTCATGGTTTCCTTTCTTCCTCCCCTGTAGGAGAACTGAAAAAGATTAGGAGTTCAGGTTTGGTTTGGATAAAATCCTGAAATGTGGATCTGTCTCTGAATTACCTCATCGTCTCGGTTTGAGCCCTTAGCTGAACTTTGTCCTAAAATCCACCTCCAACAAAACAGTGAAAAGTTTAGTATAGGCTTAAAAAACGTGGAATCAAAATTTGACTTGGTATAAATCCACTGAAAACAAAATACAGATTTATATTATCCATTATATGTCATTGATCTTTTGGAATTCACTTACTCCCCCACTAGTTGAAATAATGAACTCACAAATCCTTGCACCTGCTGGGTGGGCAGCCTCATTCATGTCATATAATCCTATTGTACTGACTGAAATAAACAACATAAAGTTATTTCCCTAAATAAGTGTTTAGGGTTCACCTGCTGTCCTGGTTTCGGCTGGGATAGAGTTCATTTTCTTTCTAGTAGCTGGTATAGTGCTGTGTTTTGGATTCAGTATGAGGAGAATATTGATAACACACTGATGTTTTCAGCTGTTGCCAAGTAATGTTTAGTTTAAAGTCAAGGATTGTTCAGCTTCTCATGCCCAGCCAGCGAGAAGGCTGGAGGGGCACAAGAAGTTGGGAGGGGACACAGCCAGGACAGCTGACCCAAACTGGCCAAAAGGGTATTCCATACCATGTGATGTCATGTCCAGTATATAAACTGGGGGGAGTTGGCCAGCAGTGGGGTGGATTGCTGCTCAGGAACTAACTGGGCATTGGTCGGCAAGTGGTGAGCAATTGCACTGTGCATCAATTATTTTTTATATTCTAATTCCTTTATTATTATTATCATATTGTTATTATTTTTTTCTTCCTTTCTGTCCTATTAAACTGTCTTTATCTCAACCCATGAGTTTTAGGGTTTTTTTTATTCTCTCCCCCATCCCACTGGGTGGACAGAGAGTGAGCAAGCAGCTGCCTGGTGCTTAGTTGCCGGCTGGGATTAAACCATGACACCCGCGCATTTCAGTTAGTAAACCTTGTCTGTGAATACATCAGCCCATGGAAACAGAATGTCTAAAACCTGAATCATCAAGCACGGTACTTCGACAGCCTGATAAAGGCTCTGTTCCAAACCCCACAGAGATCAACAGTGGACGAGTGGACTGGGAAGAACAGCAGCTCAAGCCTACAGGACGCACATGAACACCAGGCACCTGCAGGCCCATGTGCTGCTTTGTGAGCATCAGCCCCGCCACCCTTTCCTGCTGGGCTGTCAAAGCTGCCTACGGATTTCTGAATATGCAGCAGTCCAGGCTGCCAAACACTGGAAATCTCAGGCTGTATATTGTAACTGTTGGCTTACCACTGCTGGTAAATCAGCCATAGCTCAGTCACAAAATTGCCTTGTATTAGGCAGATTCAAAACACAACAAACCACACTTACTCTCTTCTCCCTACCCCAGGCCTGCCTGCTGAAAGAGCTGAGCATCAAAACTGTATCTTGAAACAGTGGAAGGTGCTGGAGACCCCCTTCTTGAGAAAACAGGCATGCATTAAATCCGCAGCATTTGACAGTGCATTTCTCCAGGGTTAATAACCAAGGTAATGACGGAGCATGCAGCCTCAGCTTCCAAGGGGCAGTTTGGGCTGAAACACTTGTACGCTGTATGCCAGCACAAGGAAAAGCTTTTGACAGTGCTGCCTCTAACGTCTATCCTTCGGGACTTCAGTAGATGGCACTGTCACATCAAGTGGGTTACAGGAAAGGAACAATGTACAGATTGTATTTTCACAGCTAATGTATGCTTTTCTTCAAATAATCTCTCTTTTTTTTTTCCTCTCTAGATGACACCTGGTTACATCTATTTGAATTTTCAGGGTAATAACCCAGCTATTGACAATGTATAAAATCGAACAGTTGACCACTGAGCAGTTTGTTGACATCTTTTCAATTTGGTAGTATGGAGTAGGACTAAACAACATGTTTTTTTCCTTTATAAATCTCTGAAAAAACCAAAAAGTTCATCACCTTTGAATAATTTTTTTAAACTTTGTGTAATATTTTTTAAAATAGTTACATAATTCTCTTTTCAGCTGTGAACTGCTCTGATTTCTGTTACATTTCAATAGATTCTTTATCTTCTCAGTGTTCTTTATATCACTAGACAAGGAACTTTCTGGGGTGGTTATGAGGGGGAGGGAAGGAAGGGCTCCCCTCCAAATTTTGGAAGTAACACCTTTAAAAAATCCTGTTCAATCTCTCTACGCTTCTGGTCTGGCACTTACATTTTTATCTGTTTCCCATGTAGGTGAGACCAATGCTGTCTTAAGCTGGCTTCATGCTTGCCAAATTCATAAGCTATCAAAGAATTGCAGCCCTTGGTGAGCCCAGAGTCCCTTAGGGGAAAACAGTGTTAGCTATTCCTGAATCAAGCTTATATTCTTGGCAAATTTCTCCTGTAGCTATTGTATTTTTTATTTTGTGCTGAATTTTATGAGAACCCTGGCACATCAGCCAGAAATTTTGTCCAGCATCTGGATTATATAGTCAACCACAGGAAATGTGATGGAGGGGCAACAGAATTTTGTTCTGTTGTGTAGTCCTGTTAGGATCACTGTCATCTTGGTAGGCGGATTTAGACTAATTTCCCATGACTTGATCTCTGCTGACATGCCGGGGCTTTTGCCTAAGAATATGTAAACCATGCTGATTTTTCTTGGTAATCAAATGACTGCCCATTTCTCCCTATTCACCAGTGACTTGGCTTTGCATTTGGAACAATTTCCTAGCAAAGCAACGTGTGGACTTTTGTGAGGGGGGAAAAAAAAAAAAAGGCATGGATCTAAATTAACTCTTTGTTTCCCCATATAGGAAAATTTTGGATATAGCCCCATTATGAGTATCAGCTAGAAGGATGCTGAATCTGCAGTAAAACTATCACCACCAGAGATCCCATCTGTATGCTGGGCAGCAGATCCACCAGCTTTTCTAGGAAATCTATGGAATCTGGGTCAAGCATCTGCAAATCCACAAATTGCTCCATTTTTCTAATAATACCCTCACAGACACTTTGAATACTTGCAAAGCTGTAGTTTCCAGGATGCGGCTTTCCAGTATGAGGCTGAAGAGCAGCAAGATGATTACTCCCGCTCTCTCCCTCCCTTCTTTCTTTCTTTCTTCTTTTTTTTCTTTCAATTTGTTTTAGCATTCAGTCTGAGCTTTAAGAATGATGTAAGAGTTGGAGACTTTAAATGGACTATCTGTGATGCAGAATAGTCATATGTTTTCTACAAAACCGCAGAGGAAGGATGGTGATGTCAAGTGACCTAAAGAAGGGCTTGTGTGCTCAGAGGCTTGCATCTTTGGTTTAATCATTTTAATTGGTCTACTGCAAAATATCGCCTTCACCTCAAATTTTGCTTCATTGGTAGTTAAGAGTATAATTACAGAATGTAAAACGCCTGGAGACGGGATTGTCATTTTAGCAAGTATTGTCGGTTTCAGCCTAAAAAAAGATGGGAAGAAGAGCTCGTAAAATAACAAATTAAACCACTTCGCAACTCTGTAGGTCGTTGCCTTTCGAGACCCTTCACGAATGCTCGCTTCGGACTGGTCGTCAGGAACGAGCAGTGATCCAGGCCCGTTCTCAGCAGGAGCCCAGAGCCGCCCCGGAGAACCCTCGCTCAAGCGCCTGGAGCTGCCCACCCGCGCTCGCACGGGCGGAGATCGCAGCCTCGGTTCGTGTCAGAGCCGTCCCTGGAAGCACAAAACCGGCTTCCAGGGGAAACCGCCGGCTACGGCTCTTCTCGGGGCGAAAATGACGAGCCCCTGCGAGCCTCCTCTTGCAACAGCCCGCGGCCCTGGGGGAGGAGAGGAGGGGAGAGGAGAGGAGGGAGGGGGCGGCGGCGGCGGGCCCGGGGTTGGTCACAGGCAGCCCTCCTGGCACTGCTGACGTGGTGCCAGGGACGAGGCTCTTTTCGGAGGGGAGACGAGCTGGGAGAGCCGCGGCCGCAGCAGCCGGCGCCCGCTTCTGCGGCAGCCTTCCTCCCGCCTCGCCTCCTCCTCCGCCGCCGCCGGCCCTGGCTCTCTCCCCTTTTCCACCCCCGGGCCTCGGAAAGGCGGAGGGAAGGGGCCCGCGAGGAGAGCCGTGAGGGGAGAGGAGGGGGATGGCCGGGGGCGAGGGGGCGGCGTCCGCTTCCCGCCTGCTCGGGGCACTGTGCCTCTCCGCCGTCGCCTGCTCGCAGCTGGTGCGCGGGAGGGAGACCGGAGCGGACTGGACCCTGGAGAAGGTGGGTCACCTTCGCGTTTCTCAGCCGCTTCTTGCCTCTCCCCTTGGCTGCGGGGGGCGGGTAGCACCTTCCCGGGAGGCCGGGAAAGGTCTGGCAGCCTGCTGCCCTCCCGCCTCGGGGGCGAACCTGGATTTCGGCGGCGGAGCGCAGGTGAGGGTGGGTAACATGGCTTCCCTCTCCCCCGGGCTGACGGCCGCAGAGAACTAGCCTTCTTCACACGTCTGTCGTGTGGGCGATGCCTTTTGCAGCGCCGGGGAATGGGCAGCTAGCGCGATAAGCTTTGTCGGGGGCAGCTGGTGAACTTGATGGGAAACCCGAACAGGAGAAGAGGGGTCAAAATCTGACATCATATTCTATATAACATTCTATTATACTCCAGTTTTCAACGTGATCACGGTGATTCAGAGGACGGTGTCTTGGTTTGAGGAAACAAATAGCTCTGCCAGCAGCAATGCACGTTTAGCTAGGAAAAACAGGTAGGGGCGGTGTTGATAGCTGCTTCAAAATTGTTTCGAAAGGATGTAATACTCTAATATGTCATAGAACCACACTGTATTGTTTTTAATTCAAAGTGTTGTGTGAACTAGTGAAAAAAGCAGTCTCGAGATAACGTTTAATGAAACAGTAATAAGCAGTAGAACCCTGATTTCTCTGTGTTAACAACTCTTAGTGGTTGATTATGAAACTCTAACATAGTTTCTTCATGAAGAACTAAAGCACGTGGAACATGGGAGAGCATACAACTGCGAATTACATTCAATTAAAGGGTTCAGGAATTTCCAAGGGGAAAATAAACTTCTAGAGCCCATCACCCGGTATTTGACTGAACTCCACTAATCCAGTGCACCGTTCTCTTCACCAATATATCAGTGTCCAGGACAAACCCGCAAAATGAAGCTTCCCTTATACCTTTCCACTCACTTCACCTTAGTCATTCCCTTTCTCCTTGATTTTATTCACTCCCCATTCAAATAAGTGCTGGGTTGTTTGGTCTTTTTTTAAAAAAAAAAAGAGAAACTTTGTCATTCTGTTCTATTAATTGTATCTTACAGTATATACAGCTCCTGTATAGACAACATATCTGTAACATACATCTATAGTATGCACAATACAGGTATATGCACATATATAATACATCTATAAGAATACATGAGGCTAAATCTTTAGTCATACTAGTTAATGTACAAGCCTGTAGCCCCCCCGCTCCTTTTTTCAGCCCTCTTGAGCCACACCAAGACACTCTTTAGCTCATTCCATTCCAACTAGTCAATCTACTTGCCAATGATGTAAGTAGTATCATCTAACCATGGAACCATAGCATCTGAATTCCTCTGCTCGTGCAGACACTAACCAAGAACCACTTCCTCTTTTTCATCAAATTCTTGGCCCTTGACAACTTTTGTTCCTTCTCCCTAAAGGGATGTGTGAGCCAGAAGTTGAAAGTCCTACAGTGTACAGACCTTCCCCTCCTTCTCTCATTGAGGAGGATGAATCAGGTCCTAAACTTAAGAGTTCTTAGAAGCTAACTTCCATTGGCACCAAGCTGAACTATACCAAATTCGGCAGGTAAGCTTGGGCTACTTGTAGAAGTTCAAGTCTCTCAGTTTTATGCAGCTTAGTGTGAATGGTTTAGTGATAGCCCTGTCATAAATATATTGCTCTGCCTTCCTGCTGCGGCTGTGGAGGAAATAGGCATTGACCAACACTGTAAGGAATGAGTCATCTACAGATCTCATTCTGTTTCTTTCTTATTTCATGACCACTTTTGTAATTGCTTTCACTTCCCAAATTTGAAAGTATCTCCATTATTAGAAATGGGAATTTATTCCTCTCTTCTGTTTTCATACGTTTGTACTTTAATAATAAGAATCATGTTTCTTTGATGTGATTCAATGACCCCAATTACCAGGCATGCTCTATGGTTAGAAACAAGACAATTCCACATTCTAATTGAGCCCGTCATTCATTCAAATGAAGGCATATTTTCTGAACTTCCTTAATTAAATTGTCCTCCTACACTCTTCTGAAGTGCATAGCTTTAGCTTTTCTCTCTCCTCTTACAGCCTGTTCCTCCTAAGCAGAACAGCTCCCTAACAACATTTTCTCATCTCTGCATTTTCTACACTGGTGTAAATTCCACTGTACTAAACTTCTGGTCTTTCGAAAGACAGTTTATGCATCTTCTACAATACAATTTCCAAACCTGTAAAAGTTCTTCTTTATATCAGATGAAATGCCATTTTTCTTTAACCCATGTCAAAATTTCCTAGCATTAAAAATGTTAACTGCACATCCTAAAATTTGGTGTCCTTATAGTCTTAAAATTCAGCTTTAAACACTATAGTAAAATTGGCATGGTAAGATTCAGGGTCTTTGTCTCTCCCCTCTACTAATTTCACTAGTAAACTGAAGTGGAATTAGAGGAAAGGTCTACACATAGATAAACAGCTAGGAAAAGAGAAGGGTAGAATTAAATGTTTACAGTGAAATCTAGAAAATACTTGTGCTTGTGCCTGCTTTGCTCAGCGCACACACAAATGGAGTAGAAAAGAAGACAAATAGTGAGGCAAAAACCATTTTTTAACAATATTCGTCAGTCAGGGTAATTAAGATAACAGGTCATTATACAGGACTGCAGAAGATCTCAAGGTATGTATACTTTCTGGCCAGGTAATGAGTTTCAGCAGTCATTTCAGACAAATGTGAAAAGACGCACATGAGTGAGTGGGAAAGGAGGGGGAATGATTATTTTTTAGTAACATATACAATGATGGTGTTAAGAGTAAATACATCTATGACAACGTCAGTTTGATGCAGCAGCAGCCCAAAAGCAAGTAATTTGTTAAACAGTTTGAAGAAAGGAAAAGAATAAAATAGAAAATACCATTATCCTACACTATAAGCTATGGGGCACTCATGTTCCAGTTTCCCTCCCTTTCCTCAGAACGAATGAGGTAGACAAGGTACACTGAAGGACAGGAAGTCTGATCAAGGCAGTTCTGATCGAAGAACAAGTAAACAGACCAGGATTTTTCAGTGGGAGAAAAAAAGAAGTAGAGGGAAGTCCCTGTGATAGAAGAAAGGAATGGATATGATAGGAGCATCCTATGATAGTCCCCAAAATAGGAATCTATAAAAACAGGAGTGGCTCAGGAAGTTCCTGAGGAGACAACTGCTAGAGATTGGATAGGTTCAAATCAGGTGCCCAAAGGAGTATTTGAGATGCCCTTGGGGATCCCACCTGGCATTCAGCTACCACTCCAGAACAGCACAAGGCTCTTGCACATCAAGGACGTGCATTTGCGAGCCCCATGAGGATGTCTCAAGTATTCTAGGTCACCCAAAATAGCTCTAAAGGTCTCTGTTTAGGCAACAGAAAAGAAGCCACTTGGGAGGTCCTAGCACTACTATCTGCTGTCACAGGAGATGAGCTGCCAAGTCTGAGGTTAAGCCATGTGTCACAAAGCTGATGCATACCCCAGCTAGCCCTAAATGAGCTGCACCATGCTGTGTAGTCAGTCACACCAATACCACCACAGTAGGCAGAGGCTTCGCTCTTTTCAGGACTGAGCTAGCTTATGTATTTCTTTGCAGTACTGCACCTCATAATGTAGACACAGCATAAAGCTAAATATTATTACTACTATGAAGAAAGCTTCTGGTGTTTGTCTCAATGGAAACCTCATTTGAAGGTGACATGGTAAGAAACATGACTGTATGTATGTAGAATTAGGGTACTAGAAAAGACAACCCAAACACAGGTTGAGTTTTTACAGCTAGTTGATAGGTAAAAATTTCTCCCCATGTTTTTAATACTACTATATTTTGCATGGAAATCAAAGACGCAGAAGCTACAGAACATAAAAGTGTCAATCATTTTTGAGATAAAAGCTTTTTTTAAAATTACTTTTTGTTGTCAGTAAATCACAGCAGCATAATGTATCACATTTACTGTAATTCTGAAGCAAACTATGGTTAAAAAGGTCTGGTAATAGTTAGAGCAATCTTTCCTTTTTCTCCCTTCTACAGTATTCACACCAACCAAGAATTTTACAATCTGATGCTATTCAAAAAGTTGCGGCAAACACAGATGTTTCTGAAATGTGGGAGAATGATTTGCGCCCTATCCTGATAGAAAGATACTCAGGATCACCAGGAAATTATGTTGTACGACAGGTAAGACAAGATTTCCTGAAAACCTCTAAGAACATCTATTATTTATATTCTGGTAGCGCCTTTTGTGACCACTAAAGGGACAGACACATTCCTTTCATTCGGTAGGATGAACTCTATCATTGTTCAAGTCTAGACTGCATAGAGCCTACATGACACAGCTTGCACTTTAGCTGACGTTATTTCCCAGGGCTGCATAGCATGATGAAAAAAAAAAATTGTTTAAAAATTTATGTTTTAAGTTTAAAAGCTTGCCTCAGGTTTGTTACCCAAAGTACAACACAACCCTTGTCCTTTCCCTCACACGAGCAGGTTTTTGGTCACTCATTCAAACCCCCTGGGACCATACATGGTGATGAAAAAAATGACACCGTCCTGCCCTTTTTCTGGAGAGGTCCTGCGCTGTTACACTCCCCTGTAGTGTTGCTTCAGATGGGTGTATCAACACAAAAAGGGATCAGAAGGGCCCAAACGGGCACGCAGATCAAATGGTCAACGTGACAAAGTGCAGCACTGGTCCAAGTACCATGCTAGCTCCGCTGGCCCAAGCACAGCAGTATGTTAATGCTGGGCTAACATATTCAGATTGCACCTGGCCCCAAGCCCGTAAAAGCTCCAGCACATTGTATGTGAGCCACAAGGAGTTACAACTTGACTTGTGACCAACCACGTGACTGGGTTGCTGCCCTGTTGGCACCTCTGCTCTGCACTCACGGCATGGGCATCTTCAGGACTGTGTGCCATGCTGGCTCTGGACTACATTAGCCAAGAGCAAGGCTAAAACAGTGGTATAGCTGAGTTTACTAGAAGACATTCACACCACCTCACGAGCCTTCATTTACCCTTTAGGCAGTGACTCAACGGCTCCAAGATAGCCCTAACTGCAATCAGTTTATTTCCCACTCTGCAATTGGTAGACTGGAAAAATGCAGCTTTTTTATGCTTTGTGTATGTGTGTGTGTGCGTGCGCACACGCGTCCGCACATGTCTCTGTAGATTTAGTTTTGTGGTTTCGTTAGTGATACCCTGGAAGGCAGCCAAGTGAAAGGGAAAAAAGTAAGAAAAAAAGCAAACAATAAAACCCCAGCTGAGCCTAGGCTAGAAAACCACAAATTATGTTCAAAATAGGATTATCGTGTTACAAGGTAACAGCATGTACCAAAGTGGACCCCTGCCAAAGGAAAAAAAGAAGAGTCCTCCATCATCGGAGCACAATGGCATTCAAAATGGATGACATTTCTTTGTTAAAGACACAGAAAAAGCATCAGACTCCTTTAAGGGAGAAGGCTAGTGCAGTCATGGCTAGTGCACACTGGGAACTCCATCCAGGCTTATATATTCCCCTTAATCCATAACAGACGTCCTTTGCTCTGCCTACAGATAGTGGATAGACCATACAATGCCATAAAAGCTTTCAGTGGGTGACCACAAACAAAATGGAAGTTTGTTCTAGCACTAAAATTTATGGCAATATTCCCACTGACTTCACTAAGAGCAGGACAAGTCTTCAAAGTCTATTTTCTTTTTTTCCCCTTAGAGGCTTTTCCTAATGTTTATTTAAAGAGAGAGGAATCTGCCTTGAAGAAGCACTCTAGGGACCCATAAAAATAAGTTGCTCAACAGAGATGGCCCTCTAATAAGAGTTAGCCAGAACTCTGTACTAAGTATAACTAGGGTTGTTAAAGGTATTCTCTTTAGGTAGGAAGATACCTAAAACGAATTATCTCTTTTATAGACTCACTGTCTTAATTTTTATCTTTACAGGAGCTATACTTAGAGGATTTCATTTTTAAAACATTGTTCTGAAATGTTTAATTCTTTCTTTAATTTACAGGAATCAGACTGTCTCTTATAGCCTTGTAAACAACTTATGTCACTTGAAAGGCAGATTTCTCTCTAAGAAAACCCACACCAAACAAACACCACCACCACCCCGTGCCAGCTTTTTTCTTAAATACTACTGTGGCATCTATGTGTGGTAATTGTCAAAATAGCCACACCTTCTCTGCAGCCAGTTCTGACATTGAATTTAAGGGCATAACTGAGTTTAGATTTGAAGAGGTAAACATTAAATCTGTCTGGTTACACCTGAAAAAACACTGGTCTGGAAACTTCAGAGACCAAGATCTTAATGTGTCATATTAATGGGCAGTCATTCAAAGCACCTTCAGACTCCAAAGACGAGACAAAAGGGAGAAATGAAAAGCAAGTGAGCCAGTCAAAGGCTAAGGTAGCAAAGACGTTGCTTATTTTATATAGTGATGTTACATTTTTTGCTATAAAATTTATCTTCTAGAAATACCGTGATATTACAGAAATAAGCTTAAGTGCCACTATTAATTAGCTAATGACAATTTGTCTGCAATATCTTTGGGAAGCAAGCAATATTAATAAGATTTTTTTTATTGTAGCATATCAAGCACCGTCTTCAAAGATTACAGGCTGGTTGGGAAATTGAAGAAGATACCTTTCAGAGATACACACCATATGGATATCAAACATTTTCAAATATTATCAGTACTCTCGACCGCTCTGCAAAACGCCATCTAGTACTTGCTTGCCACTACGACTCAAAATTCTTTGGACAACAATGGCAGGAGAGAGTGTTTGTAGGAGCAACTGATTCAGCTGTGCCTTGTGCTATGATATTGGAGCTGGCACGTGCCCTGGATAACAAGCTTCAATTAATCAAGGTAGTTTGCTTGTTTCATTTTCATTTGTTTTTGCAACAGCAACAGGCCTTAGGGCACTTCCATGTTCTGTCCCATACCCTGCGTGCATGAATCTCTGATTGCTGTGCCTGTAGTAAAACTCCCATTGACTTCAAGAAGAACAGAACAGAGATCTCGATCTCCCTCTTTAGAGTACATTATCACATTAAAACTCCTTATGCAAAGGATGGCTATCTAAAAATTATCTAATAAATATATACTATATAAAAATAACAATTTATACATGAATAATACAGTTCATAGACTTGGTGAGAACCCTGCTCGGAAGCTCCTCTTGTATCCAGTGACATCTAGGGTCATTGACAAAGTTTTGTTGCTTTCTGAATCTTGCATTTTAAAAATCTCTCAGTTATACTGTTTTGGGAGATGGATGAACTAATTGCTGTGCAGGACAGTTACACTCACATCCCTCCATCCCATAATGATTTCAAGCTTTTCTTCTTGTTTTCCTTTATCAATTTGAATAGTTTATTTATGAAACAAGTGATGGCTGAGTACAGGAAAACAGTCAAGTAATAGTGTATAATGTTATCAGTCTGTGTTACCTATGCTATGAAAATCTGCTTCAAAGTGCTGCCATTGCTAGGCACAAAAATCTGTTGATCCTACAAGCTCTAAAAGCCTGTAGGATTACAAATTTGTAGGATTACAGATTCATGAGTGCCATCTACTGGTCCAGTATTTACTGTTTACAGAAGATACACTAACAACTTTCACAGGAAAAGGTCTCTCAAATGCTTTACAAAGTGTCAGGAATACACTCAGTTCAGATATTAAGATTACCTGTCAGCAGTTGTTTCCAGAAACTGATTTGGTGTCTTCTGACATTAGAATATTTAAGAGTTAGAAAATTAAGAGTATGCCGATATTTTTAATCACAAAACAAAGCACTCCTGTAATACCTATGCCTTCATTTAGAAGCTTCATTTATAATAAATTTGCCTGATGGTTATTTATGGAACAACCTGCACACCGACTTAAAGATGGGAATTTTTTGCAAGTAATTTAAATTGTTTTATCATGTAAGATGACAGCATTTGACAAAAAGGCAATCTAATTAGTTTGCACAGGATACCATTTGTACAGCCTGTTAACAAAATATACTTTTGGATCCATCTGCTTAATACATTAGCTATGACCCTTTTGCTCTGCTCATAGTAGCATAACAGACTTTGTTATGTTTTCAGCCAAATCTATTTATACTTTGACTTGAAGCTGTGATTTTTATCTTGATGTTTCTCCAGTTTTTTGAGTAAGTTTAAAATTAAAAGGGAAAGACATCTCTCTACGTTATTCAGACCTGGTAAACGGTAATAATAATAACAATAAAATATTACTTTCTAAAATTCAAGTGGCATTAATAGTTTCCTCCAGAATATAATGCAAAATGACTGCTATCAAAAGAGCTCGTGTCCTGTGCAAAGGACAAAGGGCAGCAAAGCAGTGCCATTAGAGAAATCCATGTATCGCTGTGAGCATAATCAATATCATCTTGCTTATGTGAGAGACATTTTATACAAGTTTTCCACTACTGTTTATATTGGATCAGCTCCAGCTAGTTGGGAGTTGTAGCCCATACAGGACATGACTGTTGCCAGTGACCCCACCTTTTTAACCACATCATACACTTTCACTTGAAGTAGCATTAATTCATAGAGGGGTTAACGTATTTATAGCAACTGCCAAGACTACAGTTCCCCAAGCTGTTCATATAGCAGAACCGAACTGGGTTTAGCCTTGTTGTAGATTATTAGGAAACGCTGGCAGTGCAAACAAGGCTTCAGTTAGTAAACAGAGAGAGAAAAAAGGCTCCTTCTACATGGGGAAGAAATTTCACACAGATGTCTCCTTTGTGACCTTAAATACATTAATCATATATATTCTCAGTTTTTCCTGCTGTGTTATTTTTGGTTGTTGAAATTTTACAAATACATAATTCAGCCTCACTGGTGTACAACTGTAGCAGAGATATTACTCCTTTGTGGCGTTATCAAGTAATAATTTTAGCAGTCACATCAGGTGTTGTTGCTGACATGTCTCCTCGTTATTTGAGATGATGTTTCTGCTACCTGCTTTTGCAGACCTGTCTCAACATATCCAGCTCATGTCCACTAAAGTCAGAAATGAAACTTTTAACCGGAACCAAAATGATTCCAGGCTGGAGAACATGTCACTGTGCTAGATAAATAATAATGACTGATCACTACCACTATTACACCGTAATGTGTCTTTTAACAGCCGTAGGAAGGTTTGCATAGGGTACCTTGAAAATATACCCCTACTGATGTTACTTATATGACTACAATATTTGTCCTTTATTTAATGTTCTGGCCAGAATTAGTTATCTTACTTTTAACTTCCTCCAATAGACTGGCTCAACGTCAAGACCAGACCTTTCACTTCAGCTCATTTTTTTTGATGGTGAAGAAGCCTTTGTCCGATGGTCCCCTTCCGATTCCCTCTATGGATCTCAACACTTAGCTCAAAAAATGGTATCTACTCCACATCCACCTGATTCAACAACCACAAATCAGCTGCAGGGCATAGTAAGTGGCTTCCACCTCCGTAATGAGTAACAGTAAATTACATTTTAAAAATATTTAATTAGTAAGTAATTGGCCAAATTCCCAAGAGACAATGAACCCCACCAAAGTTAGAGGATAAGCAGGCTTGTGGAAATTTTTTGAGATGTGATAAAATAGAGTTGGCAAGAGCTTTTCAGGTAAATCTGCTTAGTTAGACTTCCTCCATGCAAGTATGAGGAGGAGTCAGAAAAATCAAAATACACAAATTTATTAGGATATAAACTAGGATACCCACTTTCTTCAAGAGAGATAATTCAAAGTCATTAGGAAAGAGCACAGACATAGTATCAGTCTATGAACAAATCTCCCCTAGCTCAGCACTAAGCTGCAGCAAGCTCTCTGTTTCCCTCTGATTCCTACGAAATTCTGGTTGTCTGCTCCCTTCTCCCTACTGCCTTCTAGTTTCCCTACTCACTGCTGAGACACTTTTCTTCTGTCACTGTATCTTGTGACTCATAAAATGTCTTTACCTTGACAGACTTCGTTGTTCTCCGGGGAAGAAGCAATTTCCTCTTTCTCCCCACCTACCATAGTTTTTCTTTTAAAGGGATATAACACACAAACTGCAAACAAAACAATGCAGTCTGCTTCAGCTTGAGGAACAGAGAAACAGCCTACAGTTTCCTCCTCAGAAAGACAGCAAAATGGATCAGATTGGAATTGGGTTATGCTAATGAGTTCTTCTGGCACCATGGTAGAACAGCCAGATCTTTGGCCAGAGCTATCAAAGACCTAGTCATGACCTATACAGAAACCAAGAGGTTTCATTGCTGCTGCTGCTACTGTTGGTGGTGATATAAAGAACTCTGTATTAAAGATTCTTTCTTCTGTAGGACTTGCTTGTACTACTGGATTTAATTGGTGCACCAAACCCAGTCTTTCCCAATTATTTTCCTAACACTGTTCGATGGTTTCAGAGGCTGCAAGCAATTGGTAAGGAGAGGGGTATGGGCTTTTGGTGAATTTGAAAATTTAGTGTGTAGTTTCTGAAAATATTAAGTCCTGAATGTATTAAGTAAATCAGATTTTTAGATTACTTTTCTGTTTTACAGTTATATTTAATAACAGAAATGTTAAATTTGGTGCATCTTAAGCCCGTACAAAGATTTTAATATTTAATTAATAAAATATCTGAGGAAAGATTCCCAGATGCTTGGAAGCCATGAAACGTTCCATTAGTGATTGTCACTCTGTGGTTCTTGGGAACTGCTTCACTTGTGTTTGTTTTAGTTCTCACTTCTGTAAAATGAGGGTAATAGCACCAATCTTGAGGTCCTCTAAGTACTAAACAAATGCAAAAGACAGTCACCAACTCCTTTTTCTTGTTTGATGGAAAAAGTTTCCACGTGAGAGGAAAAAGAATTCAAATGTGCTAACATGCCTCTTACTGTCCAAAAGTTGTAATAATCACTTTCATTGTGAATTACAGAGCAAAAGCTACACAACATGAATCTGCTGAAGAATCATCTTGTTGAAAGGCAGTATTTCCAGACTACTTTGCATCGAGGCTTGGTTGAAGATGACCATGTTCCATTTTTATTAAGAGGTACCAGAAGCTTTTCTGTTTTAAAGTATAAGTTCAGTAACAAATGCATCATTTCGTGAACAAGCAAGTGCATATGATCCTGTTTTTCAAGTTTATTTGCCCCAACTTGAGGCTTCCAAATTCAACTTCACGCAGGCCAAAAGTCACAGCTTTGAAAACCACACTCAAACAAAAGCAGTGATAAAACATACCCATCATCTTTTTGCACGAGCACAGCTCCAGTGGCACAAAGATAATGGAAATTTCTGTCAACAGTAGTGTCCTATGAAGATAAGCAGGTCTGATCCAGTGGGATATCGCTACATACTACACTAGCCAGCTAGTTATTTCTAGGAAACACTCAAGGGTCATATTTTCAAAGACTACAGAAATCTCCAAAGATCTGTTGTCAAAGTTACAGTAATGCTCACTATTACCTGTTTAAATTTGAAGGCACTGACTCCTGCAAAAACTCACATACTCAAGTTAAGACATCCTCATACCCTAAAGAGAATGGAGATTTCACAGCTGTCAGCTTGAGGGGTGGGAAAGGTGCATAGAATAGGCAGCAGAAATAGCAAAGGACACAATATGCTCGAAATCCGTCCTGGAATTAGGCACATACCTGAAACTGGGATTCCCTGCCTAAGCATTTCTCCTGGCAGACACCTACGCCATAGCCTCTGACTTTGTGTTCATTCTTTTCCTTTGGGATGCAATCAAAGAAAGGGAAAGCAGTTGTTCTACTGCTGCCACCTTGTCAAGCTACAGGTCAGTGATTAAAGTACTTGTCCAAGTTCAAGATGCAGACTTGATGTCCTTCTCAGTTCAAGCACTCAGCAGAACATCTTCAAAACTAAGGTGGGCCAAAGAAGGATAGTAGATGTAGTAAACTTTTCTGATTGAAGTTTTCCACTGTACAGCAAGGACTACCAAGAGTCATATTGCAAGAGAATGGTTAACCAGAAAGGAATGTAACAGTAGATCAAGGAAGAGGGTATCTACCTGGGAAAGGAGGGAGGTGTCTTCATATCTGGCCCCTAATTTTACCATTGCTTATGCTGTTAACTCCAGAGTAATGTAAAATGCAGACACAGCTCTGGAAGCAGGCACAAGAGCAGCTACACCTCTTCACTTCTAAGCAAGTGCTCTCTTCACTGAGCTGTGGTTACTCTCTCCTGCTCAATGGCTTTTCAATTCCATGAATCTCGTTTTTCTCACCAAGGCAGGGCCCAGGTCCAAAAAGACCAACACAGCCATAATGTGCATGTCCAGGGATATCAAAAATCCTACATGGGAGAAGCTGACAGGGCATAACAATGACTACACCTGTCGTGGTTTAACCCCAGCCAGCAACTAAGCACCACACAGCCGCTCACTCACTTCCCCCCCACCCAGTGGGATGGGGGAGAAGAATCGGGAAAAGAAGTAAAACTCGTGGGTTGAGATAAGAAGGGTTTAATAGAACAGAAAAGAAGAAACTAATTATAATGATAACACTAATAAAATGACAACAGCAATAATAAAAGGATTGGAATGTACAAATGATGCGCAGTGCAATTGCTCACCACCCGCCGATCGACACCCAGCTAGTTCCCAAGCAGCGATCCCCTGTCCTCACCCCCCGCAGTTTACCAGTTTACACTAGATGTGACATCACATGGTATGGAATACCCCGTTGGCCAGTTTGGGTCAGGTGCCCTGGCTGTGTGCTGTGCCAACTTCTTCTGCCCCTGCAGCTTTCTTGCTGGCTGGGCATGAGAATCTGAAAAATCCTTGACTTTAGACTAAACACTTTGTAGCAACAACTGAAAACATCAGTGTTACCAACATTCTTCCCATCCTGAACTTAAAACATAGCACCATACCAGCTACTAGGAAGACAATTAACTCTATCCCAGCTGAAACCAGGACAACACCTCAAAACCTCTTCTAGTAACGCAATTAACACCTAGTGAGGAAAAGAGATTCCTTAGTGGTATGCAGCTGAAAAATGAGAGAGGAAAAGCGGTAAAACAGGAAAGAGGCTGGAGAGAAACAATGCTCCCTGCAAAAAGTGATCAGGAAGCAGAAGACTGATTTAAGTCCTCCTTTAACTAAAAGTTTCAGTGTGTATAGGTGGCTTGATGTATATATGTATGCAGTGATATGGATCCTTTCAAGTGGAATTTCTTTTATCTGAGGATAACAGTGGTTCTATTTTACAGAGTAAAAATACAGACACTCAATTTTACCATTTATAGAGAAGACTAAAAAATATACTTTAAAAAGTGCTCAATCTTAACACTGTCACAAGAACATGGTAATTAGTTTTCAGTTTGGGGAGCTGCAGTGGTTTCTCTGCCCTTCTGTAGCTCCTAAACATGGTATCAACTACTACAATGCAAAGGATCTAAAAAAAAAAAAAAAAAGCAAGTATCACAGTAAAACTAGCTACAGGTGCCTTAAAAAAAAAAAAAAAAAAAGAGGTAAAAGTACTTAAAGGAAAGGAAGGTGCCAATTTTAAGAAACACACAATTAAATAAATGGGATGCAGTCACAGGCTTCACAAAAAGAGAAGGTAAAAGGAAGCTACAGTGACACACACTCCTATATAAAGTAAGCTTATTGAGTAGTTAGTTACCTGACTCTATTGCTAAATGGCGACATATCAGTTAGCTTAACAGAACTTCTCCAATATTCTCCAAATTTCACTTTCGTCCTTACAGGTGTTCCAGTCCTACATCTGATTCCATCCCCTTTTCCTGCAGTATGGCATACCATGGAGGACACAGAAGAAAACCTTGACAAAACCACTATCGACAATCTCAGCAAAATCCTGCAAGTGTTTGTACTGGAGTATCTAAACCTGTGATAGACAAAATGGCAACAAATCATACTGCATTCTAAATACTGTTTGCCCACCTTCACATTTGCTATTTAACTGCATTGGAGAGCACTAAAGTGAAGCCAAACATAATGATAGCTCTTGGTAGACTGATGATAGATTCAACTGTTCCTGGCCCAATGTTCCATGTAGCCAAATAAGATAGCATTAAATAAGAATTAGTTTCAGCCTGGAAGGAATTTGATCTTTCCATGTCTTACCTCTGAATAAAAAACCCCAGGATTTTTCTGGATTGTTATCACTGTTTTATGTCACCTATTAAGATCCTGGGAGGGAATGCCTCCCTACTTAAGCATTACCTACAGTTTTTACAAGGTGGGACCAACTTTTGCAGTGTTCAGCAATGGAAATTTATACATTATCAAGAGGCAAAAAATCCCACTAAAACCAACTTCTACTTTGAGTTGAACTAAACCACCTCATACTGAAATGAGTTGCTAGAACTCCTGACACACAGAAGGGATTTTTAATCCTCTCTGCTCCCTCTCCTCCTTCCCCTATAAGGAAGGCTGCAAGGGCTCTTGTCCGCAGACAGCAGGCCACCAGGAAACAGAGAAATAACCCAAATTCAGTTTTTTCCCTGTTGTTTATTGGATACTTTTTGATGGAGAAGGGTGGTGGGGAGTGATGCTAAGAGGAAGGTATGTGGGGGTTTACATCGTGCTTTGACTGCAACAGAGAAGATACAAACAGAACAGTAGGTGGTGTGTAGGAGCAATACACCAGGACACACCATTCATTCATGTGAGAATCATTCACAATTTGACCCCCCCCAAAAAAAACCCAAACCCAAACTGCTGTTTTTAATACAGATTACATCTGAAGTAATCATACTAGGAAAGTGATCACTTTTGAAACTATAGTTTTATATCAATATAATTTTAAAGGCAAAGTGCTATCTATCAAGGTTTAAAATGAGAGTCAAAAGCAAGAAAACAGTTTAAGCACCAAGAAGTAAGGACAAGCCATAGCCTGTATCAGAAAAAGATACTCACCAGTTTAACAGCCCTGTGCTTTTACATTCTTTACTGGAATTATTTAATAGATTTAGTTTAACACTCTGGCAAAAATCTACCCTGGAATGAAATCAATAGGAGAAGCCAGAAGAACAGTATTCAAAAGCTACCTACAGAATTATGGTTTCCACTGGTGAGAAAAAGATGAGAGCATTTGAAGAAAAAAAAAAAAAAAGGCAACAAAAAAACCACGCTGGTAAAGGATGAACTGAGAAAAAAAGAGTCATTATTTTACTGCTCCAGAATTCTTCCATTAGAAAGTTCTATACCTAGGCAAAGAGATTTAAAAAGAAAATAAGCTATGGAATTGTGGGCATGTCAGATTTGGCCTGTATTCTGCCATTTTCCTAAAGCAAACATTTCTGAACCTAAGACAATATTTACATATATATTTTAAAGTCACAATAGAAATATGTATTTACAGCAATGCAAATTTGTAAAATTTTACTATTACAGGACAGCCTGAAAATGAAATTCAATCTGGTTTTGTTGCTCAAGATGAAACAAAAGCATTTTATGTTTTCCTATCACTTTAACATTTGTGAGAAGTGTTTCTATTTTGCATGCACCTTCTGAAATAGAATACAATGAAAATTCTAAAAATTGGACAGATGTGTTTATTTTCAGATATTACTGTACATCAAAGCTATTTGTACTCTTTGCTATCATATTCTCCTCTACTTCAGCCCATGAGAAAACATTCTAAACAACTAAATTAAATCTTCTGAAGTTTGAGTACTCTGAGCAATGTAAGGCACCTACTGCACCCTCCAAAGTGGTGAAAAAAAGGTAACAAAATTGCTATATACAGAAATATTAAACATGAGTTTGTGTGGCTGATTTAATTTTTACAGGTGAACTCTTGTGGTACTTCATACTTTGCAGGGCCTCTGAAAAATGCAGTATGCATTTGCAGTGTGCACTGCTACTCTGCTTCTTCAAGAATTTGGAAGTTAACTTAAAATAGGCTTCACTATGAAATGTGAGACCAGAGGGTTGTTATAACTGGGAAAAACCTATTTTTTAAAAATCTCTATTAGAGTTAGTTGAAACCATACTTTAACCATGTAGTACACCAAACCTCTGGTACGTCAATTTTGTCACCAACTTCTCACTGCCTGAGCATGCAGTTCTCCCGAGTTATGTTTACTCAGTTCAAAGAAATGAGATACACGTGGGTGTAGTATGATTCAATGGTTCTAAAAACATAAGAAAAACATCTGAAGTGGCTTTTATTTTTTTTTCCCCTTGGGTTTTGGGGGGCAGCAGCAGGGTACAGGAAAAGAGAGCCATCTCTTAACTGGATGTGAGCCCTGAAAAGAGTTTACTTAAAGAGGGGAGGGTCATCATCTTAGCAATTTATACGATCCATCATTCCTTTAAAAAATAACTGCTGGAAGGAAGACTTACATCAGCCCAGTAACCATGTGAATCCAAGAATCTAAGCTCCCAAAAGCACAAGAACCTGAAGTAGTCACTAAAGCAAAGACATGGTGCAAGGTGGGTTCTCACTGCTGCTAAGGCAGAGGAGAACAAGCACGTAGGAGAAAGTCTAGCCATTTGATCAAATGCCCAGAAAACAAAAAAAAAAAAGTGAAAAGACCAGGACTGGTATCTCTTCCACTCTCGGTTTCAACATTGAGTATCACTAAGTATCCAGATCTGTAGGATCTAGACATGCACGATATAGATAATCACTTCAGAATTCAGAGACAGGCTTTATGTTGAAGAACCTATCCCTGCATAGTTTCTCTGTCCCTGTTTGATGGTGGTAGTAGGGGACAGAAATCAACTGAGGGACTTCAACTAATCTAATAGTAACACAAATCAGCAGAATTGCTGCACAGGTTCTCTCCTTGAAGAGGATTTGTCACATCTCAGTCAAGGGGGGGGGGCAGGGAATCAACTATCTACCACCCGCAAGAGGCTGTCACTGGCTTGTCAGAGTCCTTCCAAAGGTGTATGTGGTTATTACTTGGGTGAAGGGAATGCAGAACAGAATGAACTCAAGAGCCAGTACTCGATAGGTAATGCTGCAAAAAAACCCCACATTACATTAGTTATTTGTATTGTAGTAGTAGGTGCTCTAGCTCCCTTTGTATCAGGACATTGCAGTTTTTCACAAGAATCTTAAGCCTAAGTGAATGCCCCTCAAATTCTTTAAAGCTTGATGCGTTTGCCTATAAGTGAAGTGATCCTCTGCAATCACAGTTGGAACAAGTTAAGGGAGTAACAGTACCAAATCCTCTGGTAGACAGAAATGATAGTGAGCACCAGTCTTCTTTTTTCTCTAGCTGCGGCAGCATTCCTATCACTAGGAATGAAGACGATATAAATTAGCAATTCTTATTCACCACATTTCAAATAAATAATTAGCTTGTGACCACCTAACAGCAAAATACAATTAGAAAAGACAAAACGCAGTAAAAATGCTTTCTGTAGAATTATTACAAGGACCCAGTCTACATTGGCAGCAGACCCAGCAAAAGTTCTGAAGTTTCACACATCTGCTCATTGAGATTGTAGTATCACCCGAGAGCATCACTTAATCAATATATATAAAAAGATAACTATAAAATCTTGTACACAAATTACCACTTTTTCCTTGTCATTTAAGGATGACACTGTTTTTATTTTCCTCATATAAAAGGAGACATTTTACTCTGTGCTGATTTAACAAATATTCTTAATATATTCATAACAATAAAGCAGCTAAAAAGCTGTTCTAATCTCTGAAAGAATCTTTATCATCTGCACATATGATATATATTGTAAACAATCACTCCAAAAAATAATTTTGTTAAAGTGATTATATTGCACTCAGAATTCTGGGATTCTCATTCTCCCTTCTCATTTTAAATCAAAGATCAGCTTCATTTTTTATGAAAACGGAGCTTTAATTTTCTACTAAAAACAAGTAGGCATGCAATCAATATATACAATGTATTTAAAATGTCAGAAAAAGGGCAAGTGTTTGGTTATGAAACTGGAGTAAGGAACAATTTTCAAATAGGCCACACCAGAGTAGTATATTGTAAACATTCTGCTGGCTCTAAGGTGTTGCAGATGCTGTAGAGTGCAGTCTAGTTCAGCACCCAAGACGTACAGAGAATCTCTTCAAGTGTTCTGTACTTCAGTGAATTTCTATGCAGCAATGGCACGTGTGAAGACTACACATAAAGACAGAGTAATGAAACAAAGGTGATTACTGAGCTAATACTGACCTCACAGAGACATAGCCAGCTGATGTAAGTCCACTGTAATCTTCAAATGCAAGTTTTCTGAGTCATTACATTTTCTAACACAGCAGTGGAACTGTTACTCTTGCTGCAAATGAAGTACAGAACTAGATTCCCTACTTGTAGCTTACATGGACTGTATACCAGTGGCAGCCTGGACACTACCCTCAGCCTAAAACATCCCGGCAAGATACCATCATGCAGAATGTCACCTTGCTTTGTTTGCAAGAGTGACACCCTCCTCCATGCATTGGAGCAAGAAACACAGGTAGTGGAGGGGGGGAAAAAAAAAAAAAAAAAAAAGGAGGAAAGTAATGTCCTTATGCAGAAAAAGAAATCCTCAGCCAGTGTAGAGGCCACAGATCTTCAAAATTCAAATGAAGACTGTTTTCTCAACTCAGTTCTACAAGAGAAAGATTTCTCTATCAAACCCATTATCTTCAGGTAATATAATATCTTTGGAGTCCCTGAGATACTACAGCTCCATTTAACGACCTCGGACAAATGGAGAGATTTACTTAGTATACAGATTAACAAGGTGGAAGCCAATATATAGCACCCTGAGTTGCAAGTGAAACAATAGGAATAGGCAACCCATGCCTCAGCAGACAAGAGGTGCAGAAGAAAGTGCAGAGGAGGTGTTGGCTAGGGAATTATAAGCTAACGTACTGCACAGGAGAACAGAAAAAAAATTGAAGTATTTCTAAAAGGCCTTTCCCTCTTATCAGAGCAGTGAAGAAAGACAGCAGTCAGAGGGAAGAGCTCTCTGAGAAAGGCCCTGAAGAGACATGGCCTTCTGGATGTACAGAAGAACGATTATGCAAAAACAGAGATAAGGTAGGCAGTCTTGTTCCAAGCGTGCCCCAAAGGTTAAGCGCTCTAGCAATGACTAAGAACTGTCATCAATCACTGACCTGTACTCTGGATATAAACCAGGAATATAAATAGATACTTTTTCCCCTGAAGCTACAGAAAAAATACAAAGAGGAAAAATACAAAGTCACAATCAAATCAGAGAATACTTTCCATAGTCAAAAATTAAATACTGGCTTCAGAAACAATACAGCCATCTGCTCTGTATCTTAAATAGGGTTAATCATAAAAAAGAGGTGCTTGTAAAATCTTAAGTTTGAAATATTTTATTTCCCAGTATATTGCTAAATAATTTTGCAGTTAAACCAAAAAGGAAGAA